AATACTCTGGTAGGGTGGCCGAGCGGTCTAAGGCGCTGGTTTAAGGCACCAGTCTCCTCGGAGGCGTGGGTTCGAATCCCACCCCTGCCAGTGTTTTTTATTTGTCCTTTCCTTTTTTTTTTGTTGTTGAATTACTGTATTTACATACTAAACCTTTGCATACCAATATTAAGAAATAAATAAACTTGTTTTTGCTATCAAACTACGCTAAACCGAATTCTATCATTTATTATTATATTAGTAATAATTAATTTTGAAAAAGTACTGAACTTATAGAAATAATATATAAAAATATTACTATACTAGATTGTAGTATATAAACAATCTAACAATGCAAAATAACGTGCAACATTAAAAAATCTCTCTCTGTAATAAAAAATTCTCAAGTGAAAGAAAAAAACACTGGCAGGGGTGGGATTCGAACCCACGCCTCCGAAGAGACTGGTGCCTTAAACCAGCGCCTTAGACCGCTCGGCCACCCTACCACGTAACATTAACTTTAATAAAATTATAATTATTTCAAGTTTTTATATTTGTAGCTCTGACCTATTTCCATTATGTTTTTTTTAATCCATCGTGACATTCTTAACAGCCATAATTATGATATACCACTTATAATTTTGATGATTTAAATTTAACCAAACATTGCAAGGATATTAGTGAAAAATTCATTCAAACAGGGTTTTTCAGCATTGCACGAGTGTATTCATATGGTGCATCTTGTTCCAGTGCTAAAAAGATCGATACTTAAATATCCAAAGACAATAATTAATTCATTTAAAAATATCACGATAACAACAAATTAGTACATTAATAGCAAATTTAGTAACCATTAGAACAATTAATAGCAAAATAAATCATTCAACAAAAGGAATGTGACAATCGTACGGTAATTCAGTGACAATATCTAAGTTTTCAAACATCAGATCAAGATTTAAAATCACGAAAATGATCTTTATAAATCATATTGTTATACAAGATGCAAATGTCTTTTTAATTAAGGGCCAACATGATGCAGTTTGTTAAGTGATAGAGTACAGCGGCAATCCCTTATACTCATGAATATACTGTGTAATGGTTATTTCATACAGGAAAACGAGACGAAACACACGAAAAACAGATTTTATGAAATTTTTATGAAAACAAGACTAACGCATAAGACGATTCTCATTGTTATTCGCCACATGAAGCAGATCAATAGCGTAGTTAATTGTCACAGACCATCTGGTCTTGCTTGACTTAATGACATGAACATGGCATATTTCCATGCATATCAGCATTCAAGAATTCGTGAAGCAGCTGGTCTATGTGGACTAAAGCAGAGACAAATACACAAATACATTATGTCGCCATGACATGTTCTCTTTCTGATGTTATCTTCAACCAGCGTAACATGCAGAGGATGCCATATAGTGATCTGAGTGGTTCAGCATGACGTTAAATGGTGATCCCGTATTTATTAACGACACCGTGAATAGTAATCAATATCTGAATATTTTAAATACGACAAAGGATGAACGGCTTGATGACTTGCCATTGGCGCAACATCATTAGGTTTGGTACCAGATGGTGTGCCACCTCATTCCCGAACAGACGTAAGTCAGTAGCTCGCAGGAACCGTTGTATAGAACTACATGGGCCTATTTCATGGTCACCAAGTTCCTCAGACTTGATTCCTATGGATATTTTCTGTGTAGAATGACCTAAAAGCTACGGTATACGGGTCACCTAAACGCATAAAAATTAGTAAATCGTTTCGAACTCGGACTTACACAACGGATATACTCTTACCATTTTGAATACTTTAATTAACCATCCTTCCATTATCCGATAATAGCTAGGATGTTTATTTTGTATGACTATAAATTTAGAAACGATGAATTTAGCGATTAAAAATATAGTTATCTTTTTCTTCAATATTTTAGAACTTCCGAAAACAATTCACTCCCTTCCGGGATATGATCTGTAAATTAAATAAGACTGCGATGAAAATAATAGCTTGTGAGAAGTTTTATGAAACGTAACTTCAATTTATCAAGAGTTGGTTTTAAAAATTACAACATAGTTCAAAATTTATTCAGAACTCAATGCCCTTTAGCAGTTTATATTGGGAGGAAAAAAATCAATGATTTAATTCTTTTCAACAGACCATAGTAAAATATTTTCATAAAGGAACTGATGAAATTCAGCTGAACAAAATTGTATTCGGTAAGTGTTGGAAAATGGTTTTTATTTTGTTTTATTTTTTTATCTCTAGTAAATTGAAGTGTAATCTTTATAAACAGACAAAAATTTAGCAACTGTTTTGAAAATGTTTACCAAGTTTTCGCGTATAATAAATTTCGAATTTTGAAGATGGAAAAACACAAAATGAAATTTAAAAAGTGAATAATTATATTAAAAAAGAAATTTAATCCTTAAATATTCAGTTAGGTGAAATTTTAGGTGGAAAAGACGACAATCTGCTGTTCTGAGAAATCCAGGATGAGGGATTCACATCGGATCCTTAGAACTCTTTCTGGGATATTTGATTTCATTTTTACTGTATGTCTCGTATGACTCTCACCACCTGCCCATCCCATTATAAGGTCTGCCCATCCTGGTCTAATTCAGAATGAGTATGAAAAACGGCTTTCTTATTGTTACCAAGAAAAGTTCGGAAAATACTTTTTTTATACAGTACTTTTAATTATTTCTACTCTGTTAGCACCTGAGAGTTTTTAAACAAGCTCATCGTGGATTCGGACAAACCAACAATTCGACTACCTGATGTGAAAGATAAGGCTCGACATATCTGGTACGACTACTCCCTGAAAACTCCTGGGGATTTTCTGACCAGTCCGAATTCATTTCAAAGCACTGCCTTCCAGACTGGTAACACTTTAACTGCTTTAGTTATCAGGCTATTTCTCAGAAAAATACCCAAAAAATTTGTTGTAAATTACTTTATGAAATATAAATTTCAAATCATCATACAAATAAATAATTTTTTTTAAAGTTTGTTTTTCTTTTGTCGAATCTTTAAGTGCACATAAAATTGTCATACTGCAACAAATAACACTTGTTTTTTTCTTTAAATACTGTAATTCATTTTGTACAAGAGACAGAAACATATCTTTAAATATACATATCAAAACTCGAGATGTAATTTATAAATATTTCAATAATATTCAACTAGATTTCAGTTTTTTCATCTGTTTTTCATCTTTTTTGCTTAATAAAACATAATTTAACCCACAGAAAAAAATATTTACTTCGAACTCAAAATTTCTGAAAATTTTATGGATTGAACCACCCATGATATCTGAGGATTCGATTCGAATTTGAACCCTAGTCGACCGGATGGGTACCGCTCTGGAGAACCGAGATCGAATTCGGACGGGTCGAAAAAACACCAGGAAATTTTGGGACGATCCATCCAGATGTGTCGGACTCCGTCTCTTACACCTCGGACGCCACACTGTGGGCCATAATGGACTTGCTAGAAAAAGCCGATAGCAAGAAAAGAATTTTAAAAATATTTTGTAATAAATAAGTATTTGTTAATAAAACTTTAATTATCAGTAAATATCGTAATAATAAATATTTATAAAAGAATTTTTTGAATCTAGAATTTATTTTTTGGCAATATTTGGTTATTATATATAGCCAAGACTAACGACAGTGAGAAAAGTAATCCGGCAGCCCATTTCTCGTAGCGAATATTTTGTATTCGCTTTGAATCTGTTAATGGTAGAAATTTCCAAAATGGACTGAAGATATCGAGTAAAATTGTCGTTTTAAGGTAATGTGTACGCAGCATTCAGTTATGTTATTATCAATGACAGTTATAATTGTGATAAACAAAGAAACAAACTTTTAATTAAGTTGTTCTTTTTTATATCGATTCAACTTAAATGATCAATTGATAAATTTTAACAATACGCACTTTGTTCTACTGTTGTAGGACTTATAACATTTTCAAGCAACTGTTAAACTCTGATATTTATTTGACAATTATAAACTACATACATCATACCTGTATTATACAAATATGAAACTACTTTCCTATTTGTTTAACAATATTTTCGTTAACCACGTAGGGTTATGTTGAAAAACATAAGGCTATTTTCAGCCCATTTCAGCATAAGGCTGGTCTCCATCATCTTGGATGACCTCTTTCTCCTCTTCACTTAGATAATTATAGTACAGTATCAGTTTTGGTAATCTGTTGTTGTTCATTCTTTCTAGTTTTAACCATTTTCTTTGGTATTTCATTTTGTATACTGTTTTTTATTTACAGATGTACAGTTTTGAGATATAATGCTTTCAGTATAATTAAACTATCTCCTTTCCAATTTACTGTAGCTAATCAAATGAAACAAAAGGTAATATATAAAGCTGGCCTGATCGGCAAGTGTATTAATTTTAATGACTGAAATAATGTATTGCATGCTTGGAGGTACCATTGTGAAAAATTTGGGAAAAGTTAGCCTATATTAATTCACTCTGTACGTCTTAAAAAATATGTGTGACGGGTTATACATTTGTGAGTTTTAGTAGTTCTACTGTTTGAATTCGATTTACACTATGGGTTGTTCAAAATTTAAAATTGTTTTTTCTAATATTATTGTTCTAACGTTCCAATCTGGAATTTGTTAAAAAACCTGATGCGGACCTTGGTGAAGGCCAAAAACATTGAGTTTTTGTTAATATTTGTTATTGGTAGTTAATCGTTTTCTTTCATTTGCTTTTCAGTATAAAAAAATATATATATATTAAATGGCAGTTGTTTCATTTCAGCAGGTAACCAAAATAAATAAATAAAAATTTATTAGTGGAAATGGATAACAAATAATTCTAGGATTATTTAATAAGATATTGTGATAATTGTGTAATTTATTGAAATTTGTTAAGTCATATGTTTTTGAAGACCAGAGGGTGTTAAGAATGGAAGAAAAGAAAAAAGTGGGAAGAGAGTTTTTGTTTGAAATAAAGAACCTATTAAATGTTAAACCTGTTTTTTAAATCTAAACTGGTGTTATTTTGTGTATTCTGCAAGCACCCCACAGATATAGTATATAATATGAAAATTTTGGCATTAGTACAGATGACAGCAGGTTTCCAGAATTGACATGTTTTTGTTGTTTGAGGTCTTAATAGTAGTAATAATATAATAATATGCCTAATAATACTATGTTTTTCTGTTCTAATCTTTTATAAATAACCAACCTTTAAAGTGATGACTTATATATATCTTAATTCTTCCAAGGACTGGGTTATGCGTGCTGAAGACTGATTCCTAGCTTTTTTTCAGGTATACCCCTATAGATTGTTTTAAAACATAAGCAACCAACACCATGATTGTTTATCCCAGGGATTTTTATGTGGCCCACTTAATATTTTTATGCAGCCCGTTGCACTCTAAAGTTTTTAGGTACATTTTCATTTATTTTCATAAAGTATGTCATAAAATTATTCTCGTTTCATTGGATACACTTTGATATTGTAATGACGTAATTGGTGCTAGAAAACTGTACTACCCCACATGCATAACATACTGTTGTGAATCAATGGTTTTCATGAATGAAAAGAATTAAACTGCTGAAAGAAATAGGTTGAGTGATTTCCATTTAACTAACATTCTTAGAACTAAGACTAGTACCATAAAAGCAGATATTGATGATAATATAAAAGGAAGGCAATGTCAAAAATCACATTAAAGTTTTTTTTATTTTGTGTGACTATAATTTCTTTTTTACTGTCAATAATACAGTATTTTTTGTAATTATTTATATTTGTTATTAAAATTTGATATTCAAATGCTGAACTTTTTAAAAGCATATATTAATATAAAGTACCTTTTTGTCCTGCTGAATGTACCTAAATTTCTAATTTGGCCCATTAGGAGAAAAGGTTGGACAACCCTGGTTTATCCCTTCCTTATCTAAGATTCATGCTTTAATGCTAGAGAGCAAAAAGTGGCTCTAAAGAATAGATGTCCATTAAAAGATGGGAGAAAATGTTTTTGTTGAATAAACTTAAATCCAAACAAAAATATCTGATGTGTAAAAAAATTGCACCAAGTAAAAAATTGTGACAAGTTAGATGACATTCAAATTTTTAAAGTTAAGCTTGGCACTTCAAAGCAAAATGTAAAAAAAACAATATAGGTAAAAATCTTGTGAGTAAAGCTTCAAAATGCCAAGCTTATCTTTACAAAAGAAAAACTCCTAAGAAAAAAATTTGACTGTCATCCAACTTGTCATAGTTTTTTACATCTGATGTTTTGTTCAGATATCAATTGTTTTTTGGTTAATGATTGTGTGATTATCTCAAGATTAAGATGATGACATACAGTACAGTTCAGTTGGTGATTGGCAATGGCCACTGACCAAACACTTGAAACACTTTAGTAAAAATGTTATAAAAAGTTTTAATTTGCATAAAGTTGTTTTTTGTTATTCTGGATAACATTTTGAGGAAAATCATTTTTGATGAAATTTTATCCTAACAAGTGTAAAATTAAGCAATAAAAGTAAAATAGCTATATGGGGAACCCTGTGAACTTTGATTTATCAACCTGGAAGTTTCACAGGCACCTTACTGATAACAAGAAAAGCTTAAGTTTAAAATTTGAGCTTTCTAGATCTAGTAGATTTTTTTTTCTAGGAGCATCTTCAGTGCTGGATGAAGAAAAGAAGAAAATAATACATCTTTTTGGTGATTTTTTGCACTTTTCAAATTCTTATATTTTGGCAACCCTTTATAGAAAAAATTGAAATTTTGCACACTACTTTAGAAAACAAATATCTTTTGAACAAGATATTCAGATTTACTTTTGACATTTGGGGTTGGAGCAATTGACCCAGAAAATCAGCAACTATATATATTGTCAGTGACTTTTTCACTTGACAGAGTCATGGCAGTGACTCTGTCAAGTGAAAAATGTCTCTATATTTGCTGTGACTCTATATTTGCCAGATTGAAAAGTTTATTGTGATAGTAATATGGTTGGCAACCTATGGCACATGGGACGATTTTCAATGACTCTCTGATTGAATAGAAATGTAGTAAAAATTAAATTTTAATTATTATTTTTTGAATTCCTTTATAACCGGACCAATTTTGATACTATATATATAAAAAAATTGGTAAAATCGTATTGGCACCTGAAATAACACTATAACTTAGGTTTGGTACAGCACTGCTCAAATGTTGCCGACCCCTGTATGAACACATTAAGTGCTGTGTGTTGCATTTCTGCATCACATGCCATACATTGAAATTGTGCTATGTTGGAAAGAAATCACACTTAACCAATGTTAAAAACATATTTATTAAAAATTGTGAGTACTTTTGAAGACATAGCCTTTGTCATCAGGCAAAAATCGAACACAAACGTTAAAACATAAGAATAGAACATAAATGCAATGTATCTTTTTTTAAATTCAGTTAAGGCACAAGATTGGAAAATTAAATATTTAATAAAAATTGGAACAGTTAATAGAAATGCGATGCACATGAAAATATCAACAAAATAAAACTCCAAGTGAAGATCTCTAGAGTATGTACAAAGTGAAATGCTTAAATATTTCTATCCATAAATACAGAATATTGATGGTAGTGGTATTACAGGGTGAAAGTGATGTGATATAAAGATTTTTCCATAAGAATAGCATTTTTTTGTCACCACCACTTTTGTTAGTCCAGAGGGGCATGTGGCCATGCTCTAATACTCTTTTTGAAAGCTCAGTTGTGCAATGTTTTGATAAGGAGTTCCTCTTAGCAGAATAATGATACAAAAGAAAGCTGGGGATTTTGCCAAAAGACTTGGCCATAGTGAATTTAAATCCAGCAATGGGTAGTTTGAGTGCTTTAAAAGTAGACAACATTGTCTTTGGGAAGCTGAGGCAAAAGTGTGTGCGCGCCTCAAAGTGTTTGTCAGAGTGGATCAAGGAGCTCCCTTTTGTTCAAGGCTATGAGCCAGTGGATGTCTTCAGTATTGATGAAACAGGCCTTTTTTCCAATGTTTACCCTAAGAACAGTGATATTCAAGAGACAAGAGTTACTGAGGTGGGAAACAGTAAAGTACACATGACTGTACTCTTAGCAGTTAATCAAATTACAAGTGAAAAACTTTAACCACTGATGATTGATTGTTCTGCAAAGCCCAGATGTTTCTAAAAAATGATATTGTTTCCTATAACATACAATGCAAACCAAAAAGCTTGGATGACAAGTGAAATCTTCAGTGACTGCTTGAAAGGAATTGACAAATCTATGAGTTTAAAAAGATGAAAAAAATGTTTTTTTTTTTTAATTGATAACTGCAATGCATATTCCAACCTCCTACTCTAAAAAACATCACTGTAAGCTTTTTGCCTTCAAATACCACATCTAAGCTACAATTCCTCAATCAAGGGATCATTCAAAGTTTCAAAGTGGGATAGAGAAGATAACTCATTTGGAACTTCTAGATGCTATTGATGATGGAAATGCCCTTCCCATTATCAATGTTTTGGATGCTGTGAGGATGCTATTCTTGGAATGTTACAGATAAGATAATCAAGAATGGTTTTCTAAAAGCAACGTTTAAGCAAAGAAACAACAAGGAAGGGGAACAACAACAAAACACCATTGACATGATAAAATACATAGATCTCAGTGAAGTAAATTCAAAAGAATGGATAATCATCAAGAATAGACTTAATGTAGACATTTCATTTGTAGTTTTTTTGAATGTGGACAATTCCCTGGTAATATGTGGAATGCTCATAGATATGGAGATCATGGAAAGTGTGATAGGAGCTTTTGACGACAGTGATGAACTAAAGGATCAGATAGATCCACCTAAAGTTATTACCACAAAAGACATGGAAAAGGCCATTGAAATGTTGAGAACTTTCCTTGAATGTCAGGAAGATATTAGTCAGGATGCATTCACAGCTACTGCTTACCGATTGATGTACACTCACTCAGCATTAGTATATAAATCAAAAAGCACACCACCTTAATTTGCTGAGAAAAAATTTAATGTAATGCAAACGTTTTCAGCCAAATCAGTTGGCCATCGTCAGGCTAAGAACATTCGAATATAAATAAAAACGTTTGCTTTACATTAAATTTTTTCTCAGCAAATTAAGGTGTTGTGTTTTTTGATTTAGCTACTGCTTACCTTCAAAAAATTGTCCAGTCAAAAAAAGTCGGACATCAGAATTTATTGACCAACTATTTCTACTGACATGCCAAAAACATTTTTTTTTAACCTAATACATGTCTGTATTGTACATGTTGTTATATTAATAAAATACTGTACCTGAAATCAAAGCTATTACTGTTTACTGCATACAAACGTTTATATCTTGAAACCTATCTATCTCAAATTTTTTTCTTGTTCCCAAAAGATTTGAGATAGAATGGTTAAAACTACTGTTGAACCTGTCATTTTCCATTTAGAACTAAACATGTCACACTTGTTGCATGTCACAGCAAATTACTTTTTCTATTTTCATCTTTTAATATCACATGGATTTGTAAACTGGATACTGTTATATCAAATGCCTGAAAACAGCAAGAGTGAAAGTTGCTAAGTTTGCTTAGCATAAAGTCAACAATGAAAATATCCTTTGAAAATCTGTTATTTCAGCATCTGTCTGTTGAGGTTCAATCTATAGTGCAGGTTGAACCTCAACCTGCACTATAGATGATTACATACTACATAATCTAATGAGAATATTCTTTTTCTGTTGTTTTAATATCCATTATCTGTTTCTGTACCTGTATTTGGTTGTAACCATTATCATCTATAATGTGAAAGAAGGAAATATTTTCAGTAGTTCCAGTATATGTTTATATACAGGGTGGACCAAAAAGAATATACGTATTTCAAACTGATATATTTAGTAAACTATCGATAGTAGCGGTGTGCTGCAGGTATCAGAGGAACGAGTGCATTGTCTAGTTTGTCTCCAGATGTCAGTTGTGCTTGGTTACAATGACGTATTCACAGTTGTTGTAAAATGGCTACGCCACAGCACAAAAGCTTTTGTATTCTTGAGCTTGCGAAGTGTAATTCCGTGATTACAGTGCAAAGACGTTTCCGGTTGAGGTACGAAATTGATCCTCCAAATGGATGGAACATTCGCAGATGGTACCGTCAGTTTGTTGACACAGGTTGTGTATGTAAAGGAAAGAGTCCTGGCCGACCTCGTGTATCTGAAGAAAATGTCGCACGGATTCAAGCTGCTTACCAACGTAGCCCTTCAAAATCAACACGTCGTGCCAGTCGGGAATTGCAGCTGCCTAAAACAACAGTTTGGCGTGTTTTGAGACACAGGTTAGTTATGAAGCCCGGACCGAACTCCCGCTCGGACCCCGGTTCCCGGACACCTGGACGGAACTCCCGCCCGGACCATTGGATTGACGGGCAACTTGATGGACGGGGTCCATCAAGGACACCGTCTATGTTCCTCCACTACCACAGAACTTCGATGAGTTGAAGAACCGGATCCGTACTGTCATTACATCAGTGACACTGGACATGCTTAGTTGAGTATGGCAGGAATTTGAGTACCGGTGTGATATTGTTCGTGTCGCTGGTGGAGGACAAACTAGAGAGTTTCATAAATATGTGTCCCAAGTTCCATAGTTGTATGTCTTACAGTTTATTAAATATATCAGTTTGAAATATGTATATTCTTTTTGGTCCACCCTGTATAACTAATAGTACGAGGGTAGGCTGAAAAGTAATGCACACATGCTTGTAGAGCGTGAACGTAATGATTTTTAGAAGCGTGCCAGGTGGCATATGGAAGTAACATTCCCCCTCTATGTGTATGTACAGTTTGAGATTGTTGCATTCATTCAGTATATTTTGAGAAGTGGAAATATGGAGACGTGTTCTAGTGCTTTGTCAATGCGAGTTAAACAGCATGCTGTTATCGAATTTTTAACTGCTGAAAAAGTGACTTCTACTGAGATTCATTGTCATTTAAAGGCTGTTTATGGTGACAATGCTGCTGTTAGGTCTACTGTAAATCGATGGATAATAAAATTTCGTGGTTGCGAGCCTGGAAAAGCCATAATTGTTGATGAAACACGCAGCAGACGTCCGATCACTGCTACAGACAATTACCGTTGCCCCTCGTTGCAATGTTTAATTCTTCTCAGTACATACAGACTCTAAAACACCTCCAACATTGAGTTTGTCATGTTAGAGGCAGCCTGGTGCCAATAATCTTGCAACATAACAACACTCGTTCACACACCTTGCATGCAACTGAAAAGGCTCTGTGAAACCTGAAAGTTTGAACTGATTCCACATCCTTCTTATTACCCCAATCTTGCACCTTGCGATTTTTATTTTTTTCCTCTACTCAAGAGAGACCTCAAGGGTGATCATTAACACCTTGGACGATGAGGTGAAGGCAGCTGTCAAGTCCTGGATTCGAGAAAAGTCAGAAGAATTTTTCAGTGACTGAATGAAAAGACTTATTACACGTTGGGAGAAATTTGTTAGCCTTAACGGTGACTATATTGAAAAATAAATATATGATTTTGAAGCTTAAAAATTGTACTTTAATGCACCTTTTGCCCAATCTTGCTATTTGTTTTTGTTCATGTTCTACAAGCATGTCTGCATTACTTTTCAGCCTACCCATATATTTTCTGAATTTTTGTTTTCATAATTTATTCAGAATATTTATTGTAATATACTTGTGTATTTTTCAAATTAAAGATTTTATTATGAAACTTCATTTTTTAAAATTGAAACTGGATTATTCTTCATTGGATGATATGTTTTTATTATGAAATGTTGTAACTTTTAACATTATTTGCATAATTTTTGTAATATATAATTTTTTTCTAGTTTAAGATTTAAGAAACATGAATGTTGAAAAGCTGAATAAGTTGCAAGCCCAGGTTCGAATTGGTGGTAAGGTAAGTGTAGTCAATATGTATTTTTTTTTATAAAAGTAATTTAATGAGATTTTAATTTAAAATAGAAAGTATATAGAATTAAAATGCAGATTTATGTTTTGTTATAGTATTAGTGAAGAAAATGAACATAATGTAAATAAAACATTGTATTGAAATAATCTGACAGTTTATTGGGTATAAAATGTATTATATGATAATTTTTGAATATGTCACAATGTGGTATATTTCTAATTTAAATTTCAAAAGAATAATGTAAATTTTGTAAACAATAGATATATTTTTGTAATTGTCTGTATAAACATACTATGATTGGAGTTAGTAGTAATAATAAACACTGTTCAAATAACAAATACAGTAAAATTGTGAGGTTGAAGCTCTCTAAGGAAGAAACTTGCAAAAAGCTGGAAAATTACAGGATTTTGGCCTTACTCAAATTTTTCCTACAAAATATCCTAAGATGGAACCTGTGAGATATGAATGGAAAGCTGTCTGTTATTCTTTGGATTACTTATAACCTGTCAAAGGTGGAAACTTAAAAGAAAGTTATCAAGTTTGAGTTTTCTTTAGATCTTTTCTTTAAATAGAATAGATAAAAACAATTAAGATTTTTGTGTAATGACAATTTGCTTAACAATCTAGTTATAGGAACAGAACTCCGTTGATAAGTAATGAGTGAGCACATTAGAAAGGATTTAATTGAAAATGGAATTAATGAAAGTGAAAATTTACTTTAAAACTTATAAATTTATTAAATGTACAATGTGTTCTGCTCAAAAGTATCCAATTTGATATTGCTATAAAAATTAATGGTTAAAGATAAGTTTTTCAAAGATTTTGAGAGAAAAACTCATCAAATTTTATTGAAAAAATCATCACATCACTGTGTACTCCAGCAGTCACAGTAACCTCATCAAGGCAGGAGGCAATTTCCAGCTGTTATTGCTGTAGCATGTCCTGTCTCACAGTGCTGATGGTTGTGATGATGAACTTCCGAAAATCTTGAAGGTCTCCAACCAAAGTTGCATAAACTTTATCTTTCATGTAACCCCACAGAAAGAAATGTAAGGGGATCATATCAGGAGATCTTGGTGGCCAAGCTGTCATGCAAAACATGTGCTTTCTTGTGGCAAAGCCATGACTGAACAGTTATGCTTGCAGTTTGACTTCTGCACCATTTTCCAGTATGAAAAAAAAATCTCAATAAAACTTGATGAATTTTCTTACCAGATGCCACTTGTTGCTTTTATGTCTTAAACCATTCATTTTTTATGGAAAATTAAAATATGGTACTTTTGAGTAGAACACACTGTATATTTTTAAGTTCTAATTATTTTTGAATATTTTTTTGTTTAATATAATCAATAAAGTAATAATTTCAAAGTTTTCACAATTGATTGATTCCATCTTTATACAATATATCTAGTTTAAACTGAAGGATGCTTTAAACATTTAATTGGAGATTATTACTTAAAAAATATTGTTTGAAAGAAAAATAATTTTGTTTCTTAAAGAAAGCCTGGAAATTAATTATCAAAACATTTATTTATTAATATTTTTCAATACACGGTACCCCCTTGTTGTATCGTGCTTGTTGGGAGACAAAGAAAAAGTGTAATATATCTGGCAGTGTAAAATAAGTGAGTACTAAAAATTCTGGGCTTTTACTAAACAGATTATACATGCTATGGAATCTCTATCCTCTATTCTTTCATCAGCAAGTGTTTCTGATAAACATAAGCTTAGTTTTTCAATACTGAATTTTATTCGTAGTTACATCGTATTAATTGGTATTTATGTAAACTTCGATATCGTGAATGCCCATATAACATTATTGTTTCTTTAACAATGACATTTAAAGACAAACACTGTCAATATAAAACAAAATATCAGTTGCAAATTTTTCTATACAGTATTATATTTCATAATAAATCACTTATTAAAAATGCATGTATATTTTTCAATAAAAATTATAAATAAAGTAATTGAAAATTTAAAAAATAAATATTGAACATATAATAGAACATCAAAACTTATAAAATTAGAGTAAAAATTCTCTAAAAAGAAAAATAAAGTTACTACTGTGTAAAAATTTTAGAACTTTCCATTCAGAAATAAAGAAATTTTTTCCTTTCACATTATGCAAGTGAATTTGAAATGTCACACCTTAATATAAATTGATGCAATATCATTAATTCACATAAAGGTTTTGTTTGTTTAGATGACAAATTTATTGTTTTTCCTCTAGTGGTAGTTTCAAAGACAATGATAGGAATAAAATTCTATATTTCATTACAAAAAGAAATTTAATAGTGATTGATAATTTAAAATTTATTGACTGAAATGCTTTTAAAATTTGGTCAACCAAAAACAAAATTGCAATATATCTGAATTTGCAATATAATGAAGGGTTATCTATATATATATAAAAACGAATGTATGTTTGTCTGTCTGTCCTTCATGCATTACTACACCATTTATCCCGATTGTCATGAAACTTTGGGAAGTTGTTTAATACACTCCCACAAAGGTTTCTAGCATAGTATATTTATCCTATGATAGATGGCGCATGTGTATATGAGCATTTCATCGTGAGCATTTCAGCATGGTTAGGAGTTGAAACTTGAAATTTGGTACATAGGGTACGTCATGAGAATGCACACTAACAAGGGATGTTTTGAAATCCCCCCCACAGGGAAAGGAACAGGATTAAGGCTTCAACAATGAAGTGTTAAGAGAAAGCAAGGTGCAAGATTTACAGGCACAGATGCAGTTTTTTGTGTTAAATTGAACATAATTTTAGACCATCTAAAAATTTTCTAATTAGTCTGGAAACAGGGGAACCTAATTCTTGCATTCTGTGAAAACAGGTAAGATTGGCTGTAATGTAATAATCTTAATCTTTGCTATCGTTACTTTTTGCCCAAGCAATGCCAAGCTTATCTGCTAGCAGATTATAAAATAATCTTAATGTATAACATTAAATTTAGTTCATATTTGAAATTGTATAACTTCCTGAATGTGTGTGTGTGTGTATATATATAAAATTTGGTCATTTATAAATATTAAATTCCTGAAACTTGATGTATTGATACTAAGCCAAACAATTGACAATCATCATAATTAATCAGGTTATTAATATGCTATAATTAATAGCCTGATTAATTATGGTGATTGTTTGGCTGTTTCTTATTTATGTATATATTTGAATGGATTTTAAGTTATCATTTTAATCAATTAGGGAACAGCCAGAAGGAAGAAGAAAGTTGTACACAGAACTGCAACTACAGATGACAAGAAATTGCAAAGTTCTTTAAAAAAGTTGGCGGCAGGAGGCAATTTCCAGCTGTTATTGCTGTAGCATGTCCTGTCTCACAGTGCTGATGGTTGTGATGATGAACTTCCGAAAATCTTGAAGGTCTCCAACCAAAGTTGCATAAACTTTATCTTTCATGTAACCCCACAGAAAGAAATGTAAGGGGATCATATCAGGAGATCTTGGTGGCCAAGCTGTCATGCAAAACATGTGCTTTCTTGTGGCAAAGCCATGACTGAACAGTTATGCTTGCAGTTTGACTTCTGCACCATTTTCCAGTATGAAAAAAAAATCTCAATAAAACTTGATGAATTTTCTTACCAGATGCCACTTGTTGCTTTTATGTCTTAAACCATTCATTTTTTATGGAAAATTAAAATATGGTACTTTTGAGTAGAACACACTGTATATTTTTAAGTTCTAATTATTTTTGAATATTTTTTTGTTTAATATAATCAATAAAGTAATAATTTCAAAGTTTTCACAATTGATTGATTCCATCTTTATACAATATATCTAGTTTAAACTGAAGGATGCTTTAAACATTTAATTGGAGATTATTACTTAAAAAATATTGTTTGAAAGAAAAATAATTTTGTTTCTTAAAGAAAGCCTGGAAATTAATTATCAAAACATTTATTTATTAATATTTTTCAATACACGGTACCCCCTTGTTGTATCGTGCTTGTTGGGAGACAAAGAAAAAGTGTAATATATCTGGCAGTGTAAAATAAGTGAGTACTAAAAATTCTGGGCTTTTACTAAACAGATTATACATGCTATGGAATCTCTATCCTCTATTCTTTCATCAGCAAGTGTTTCTGATAAACATAAGCTTAGTTTTTCAATACTGAATTTTATTCGTAGTTACATCGTATTAATTGGTATTTATGTAAACTTCGATATCGTGAATGCCCATATAACATTATTGTTTCTTTAACAATGACATTTAAAGACAAACACTGTCAATATAAAACAAAATATCAGTTGCAAATTTTTCTATACAGTATTATATTTCATAATAAATCACTTATTAAAAATGCATGTATATTTTTCAATAAAAATTATAAATAAAGTAATTGAAAATTTAAAAAATAAATATTGAACATATAATAGAACATCAAAACTTATAAAATTACAAGTAAAAATTCTCTAAAAAGCAAAATAAAGTTACTACTGTGTAAAAATTTTAGAACTTTTCTTTCAAAAATATAAAGAAATATTTTTCTTACACATTTTGCATTGAGTTCAAAACTTTCAAACTTTTATGTGAATTGAGAATATTGTGTCAATTCACATAAAGGTGTGAAATTTCAAATTCACAGGAATTTGTAAATGAGAAGACAATACTTAAAACCAATAAATAAACAACTTTTAATGTCAAAAGGAAACAAATGATGATTGATCTGACCACCTGTTTTATTTATTTAGATTTTGATGAATTTATTATTTCACCTGCAGTGCTAGTTTCAGTGAAAACGTTAGGAATAAAATACCCTATTTTGTTGCAAAAAGAAATTCAATGGCTATTGGTAATTTAAAATTTATTCACTCAAGTGCTTTTAAAATTTGGGGACCAAAAAAAAATGCAATATATTCGAATATGTGCTATAATGAGGTGCAATATAATGAGGGGCTATCATAATTTCAACTAAATTATTATTTGTGTTTTATTATATTCATTAGTTTCTGTTTTTGATCAGAAGTTAAATTNTTTTACTAAACAGATTATACATGCTATGGAATCTCTATCCTCTATTCTTTCATCAGCAAGTGTTTCTGATAAACATAAGCTTAGTTTTTCAATACTGAATTTTATTCGTAGTTACATCGTATTAATTGGTATTTATGTAAACTTCGATATCGTGAATGCCCATATAACATTATTGTTTCTTTAACAATGACATTTAAAGACAAACACTGTCAATATAAAACAAAATATCAGTTGCAAATTTTTCTATACAGTATTATATTTCATAATAAATCACTTATTAAAAATGCATGTATATTTTTCAATAAAAATTATAAATAAAGTAATTGAAAATTTAAAAAATAAATATTGAACATATAATAGAACATCAAAACTTATAAAATTAGAGTAAAAATTCTCTAAAAAGAAAAATAAAGTTACTACTGTGTAAAAATTTTAGAACTTTCCATTCAGAAATAAAGAAATTTTTTCCTTTCACATTATGCAAGTGAATTTGAAATGTCACACCTTAATATAAATTGATGCAATATCATTAATTCACATAAAGGTTTTGTTTGTTTAGATGACAAATTTATTGTTTTTCCTCTAGTGGTAGTTTCAAAGACAATGATAGGAATAAAATTCTATATTTCATTACAAAAAGAAATTTAATAGTGATTGATAATTTAAAATTTATTGACTGAAATGCTTTTAAAATTTGGTCAACCAAAAACAAAATTGCAATATATCTGAATTTGCAATATAATGAAGGGTTATCTATATATATATAAAAACGAATGTATGTTTGTCTGTCTGTCCTTCATGCATTACTACACCATTTATCCCGATTGTCATGAAACTTTGGGAAGTTGTTTAATACACTCCCACAAAGGTTTCTAGCATAGTATATTTATCCTATGATAGATGGCGCATGTGTATATGAGCATTTCATCGTGAGCATTTCAGCATGGTTAGGAGTTGAAACTTGAAATTTGGTACATAGGGTACGTCATGAGAATGCACACTAACAAGGGATGTTTTGAAATCCCCCCCACAGGGAAAGGAACAGGATTAAGGCTTCAACAATGAAAGTGTTAAGAGAAAGCAAGGTGCAAGATTTACAGGCACAGATGCAGTTTTTTGTGTTAAATTGAACATAATTTTAGACCCATCTAAAAATTTTCTAATTAGTCTGGAAACAGGGGAACCTAATTCTTGCATTCTGTGAAAACAGGTAAGATTGGCTGTAATGTAATAATCTTAATCTTTGCTATCGTTACTTTTTGCCCAAGCAATGCCAAGCTTATCTGCTAGCAGATTATAAAATAATCTTAATGTATAACATTAAATTTAGTTCATATTTGAAATTGTATAACTTCCTGAATGTGTGTGTGTGTGTATATATATAAAATTTGGTCATTTATAAATATTAAATTCCTGAAACTTGATGTATTGATACTAAGCCAAACAATTGACAATCATCATAATTAATCAGGTTATTAATATGCTATAATTAATAGCCTGATTAATTATGGTGATTGTTTGGCTGTTTCTTATTTATGTATATATTTGAATGGATTTTAAGTTATCATTTTAATCAATTAGGGAACAGCCAGAAGGAAGAAGAAAGTTGTACACAGAACTGCAACTACAGATGACAAGAAATTGCAAAGTTCTTTAAAAAAGTTGGCTGTTAACAACATTCCTGGTATTGAGGAGGTAATGAAATTTTTTTGTTAAAATAAATTCTTACTATTTAATATATTACAGATACTGCTATATACAGAAATTTTCTAAATATAGAAGAAATATAAATAACATACTTTAATTTTTAGTAAAGTTAATTGCTGAATAGAATTATATTAGGATAACTAGGCTATTTTTTATTAATTATTTGAATTTAATTAAATTGAAATATATTTGTAAAATTTTAAATTATGCTGCATGCTGCATGATAGAATTAAGGTTTTTGAATCTTGTTGTTATAGCTTGGCTGCACAACTCAAACTTCGTTTCCAATCTGATTACAGTAGAATCTCACTTAATTAACAAACATCTCTCATAACAAGTAATTTGCATAACAAGTGAAGCAAATTGTAAAAAAATGACTTGCTTGACAAGGAGAGGGAAAGTCCTGGATTGTGTGCAGGCTACATCAGTCTGTGTTTAGCACTCATTCCACTAACATCTTAGTGTCTCTTGTGATCACACATTTTTCCAAACTTTTGTTCAGATATATTATGTATGAACATCAACAGCCATAGCCCATTTTATAATAAACATGCCAAATGATATGAAAAATTCTTGGGCTATATAAAGGCTATAATTAAGTATTAGAAATTACTGTATTTCGATTATTTTTGTTTTCTGCAAATCAAATTCGCATTAATATGACGATTTTAGTCTCTGTAATCCAAAATTATTCTTGGTAGACAAATCTCACAGCAATCGTATTGGCAAATTAAATTTATTGATGTAGTCTTTACAAAATAAATTTAATTTGCCAATACAATTGCTGTGAGATTTGTCTACCAAGAATAATTTTGGATTACAGAGACTAAAATCGTCATATTAACTAATATACAGCAAACCATTTATATATATTTTGACAAATTCGCATTCCAGGTTGGTTTATTCTGTGCTAGAAGAAAGGATGAAGATGATTCACACTCCTTAACAATGTATATTGTATAATTTTATTTGAATAAACTTTATACATAAAATATTTGAGTATTTTTATTGGCATGGAATGTATTATCATATTTTACATTAATTTATATGGGAAAAATTGTTTTTCTTAATAATTGTTTCATTTTACGAGTAACATTCTGGAACAAATTAGGCTTGTTAAGTCAGGTTCCACTGTATATGTCAACTATATCCTTATTTTTATAATTGAATTTATAACTTTTTAATTTAATTTGATTACATTTCAGAGGTTCTAAGAATAGAGGGGGAAAATTACATCTTTATTTTTATTAATCTCTAACTTAAATTTAGTATTTCCTTCAAGACACTAATGAAGACATTGCAACAAAATATGAAGCAGGTTTACCTCATTTGTCAGAAACATGGTGACATAATGTGCTGGAAGTGGCCACCATTTACATCTACATAACATTGAATCTGGCACAACACATTTCAAAACATCCTTCCCAGTAGGTCCATTGTCAGTACCTGAATTGCTTTGTTGATGTTTGCATTCAAGACATGTACAGTTAATGGTTTTTTAGTGCAAACTTTCCCTTTCAGATATCCCCATAAAAGTAATCAGGCAGCATTAGATTGGGCTAATGTGGTGGTTAAATTTCCTTCAAAATGACAAAGTTGCTGAAAAATGCATGGATTTTCTTGAATTATCTGAAACCATCAGCAATATGCTACTTTTTTCGGTCATGCTCTTTTAATTCATGGACCATGGAGATATGGTATGAGTGAATCTTCTCTTTTTTTTTGCAGTACAATGACAAGTGCTTATGGACAACCATGCTTCCTTTGAAAGTTGTTTTTGTGACATTTTGGGAGACACCAGGTCCTTCACATTCTGTATCATTTCCTCTGGCATTTTTGGACAACTTCTTACAGGCTTGTCCAGTAAAGTTTCCTTGATTTCAATTTACTTTGAACAGGTCCAGATGCTGAACTTACTTGATGGTTGTCTGTTTCCAAACTTCTCCAGGCTGTTCACATATCTTTATCAATATTAAAACATTAAATGCAAACAGGTTAAATAATAGCCTTGTTATACAAAATATTATACAATTCCATTATATAGAAGAAATGGCAGATGAGTTTAGTTGAGAGAACATTAAATGTTTAAGTTATAGCTTGATCTTCATATTTCAATAAGGCAATATGATATGGTTGGTTTTGTTTCATTTTTGGTGTCATTCTAAATGTGTTCATTTTGTGTCATCATATTCACTAACTGAAATTATAACAATATGAAACAAACTGACAGACAACATGCATGCATATGTATACAGAGAATCTTTTTATTAAAAAAAATTCTGTTGAAATTCAATGGGCACATGTGCTATTTTATTTACAAATAATTTGTTCTACCAGGTAAACAATAAATAAAATTTTCATGATGACTCAGGATATCTATATTGAAGTTAAGACCATTTACAAAAATATATAATATTTTTGAGTCTTTTCTTTATCTATTAACACAATCACAGAAGTAAGTTACATTGACTTGAAGAAAAACTTCATTAAAACGACAAATAATAATAGATAAAAATTCACAAAGTTAAAAAAGATATCAAACGTCAGCCTTTTATTGGAGGATCTGACGTTTTACATTAAAAATAAAGATATTTTCTCAGCCACTATTAAATCCTTGGCCTATTTATAACTGGTTCTAGCCCTCTAGTGGTAGTTTCAAGTTTTTTACTTCATTTGCATATGATTACATTTTGATGATGACTGTTTTTTAAAATCTATTATTATTTATCTTTTTAATAAAGTTTTTCTTCAAGCCAATGTAACTGTTACTTCTGTGGTTGTGTTAATGGATAAAGAAAAGACTCAAAAATATATATTTTTGTAAATGGTCTTAATTTCAATAATAAAGTATTACATACAAGTTAGATCTTTGGTTGAAATAATTTTTCAAAAGAGATTTGAGTTTTTGAAAAAGTAATAGAGTTCCTGGTGTATTGCATGCACAAGGAACTCAATACAATAAATTCTGCAGTGATTGTCCAGAAGTTATGGCAAAATGTTCAATTAAAGAACTGAACTATTTCTTTATTCCTTTATTTTACTCATGCAGACTATTTGTTCACAAAATCAAATTTATTCTAAAAGGAAGTGAGTTTTGATGATAATGATATATAAATGAAACTTGACAAAAATTTATATGAATTTTAAAAATGTTCTAACAGCCTGTAACTGTGCATGAAATATACACAGGGGTCACCCTGGCTTTTTTATCCCAATTGCCAACTGATTTGACAAACACATTTTTTATTTGCCAAAATAGAAGTTATTCACCAGGTTATTTTTTCTCTTACCTGACTTATTGTACCAATCTGAAATGAAAGGACAACCAACAATGTAAAAAATCCAGCAACATGCTGCATTTTTTATATTGGTTTTCTTTCATTTTAGATAGAAAATTATATTGTTGGTCGTGCCTGTTATGAGATTTTATTTATTAATCATAATAAATAAAATTGTGTTTGGTCCATGTGTTATAAGATTTTAATATAAAAAGTTTTTTATATTATTAATTATTATAAAATGGCAAAAAGCTTAATTTTGAGGGTAGAGATGAGTTTTATAAAAAAAAAACTGTTAATGCTAACAACAAGTAAGATTGTCAAAGTCTGATTTCTCTTGAGATATGACATAACACCTTTCTATCTCTCCATCACCTTGACTTTTAACCACCAAAATTTATTAGCATCAATGCCCCTTATACAGAAGCTATCATGCCAAATATCGTTTCTTAATCAATACCCCATCCTGAGAAATAAATTAAATGCCAACGTACACACTCACACACTCACACACACACACACACACACACACACACACACACACACAATCCAAGGAATTTTTTTCCTATTTTTTCTGACTTTTTGTTCAGGAGGTCTCAAACTGTGGAGATTTGCAAAAGACATGGAGGATCAAATTTGATAAGATTCCAATACTTTTCCTTATCTATACATACCTACCAGGAAAGTAAAATGCAGAGCTTTTTATGACTGAGTTTCTTAAGCAACTTTATTTTTAATAAAAAAAATAGTAAAAAGACATGGCTGGCGTTAATTACGTTTAATAAATATATAAAATACGGCATTTTTACAAAGGTAAAAACCTTGCTTAAGAAAATTTATTACATTTCCTGTTGTACGAGGGTTTTACCCAATCTTTCCACTGTTTTGTTTCTACATTGACCATGTCTTTTTACTATTTTTTTATTTAAAATGTGATATTGTGACAATAGCAACGAACACCAGAGGATGCTTTGCCTGATTTTACATTTTTTGCGGAAGCAGTAGCCTTAAAAGGAAGGTTGTCTCCGAAAAATTTTTGTGAATTGTCTTAAGGATCACTGATGGTGTAGAAACAAAATGGCAGAAAGATTGACAGAAGCAAGCATTTTTACCTTTGCAAAAATGTCGTATTTTATATATTTATTAACTTTATTTTTGTTTATTAAAAGTAAATTTGTATCAGATCAAGACAGATTCATATTGTGATACTCTTTTTCACAAAGTGACTTATTATTATTTTTTTATTTTTTTGAACTTTTTATTGGGAATGGTATTTACCACTCCAATAGCCAAATGATAAAAGCAATTGCCAGATGAATATAATTTTTGCAAACCACAAATTTTGTGACAGGCAGCGTGACCCTGCATAGCCTCCTGAAGAGATTATTCTAAACTAGTAGCCTGGGACACCTCCTAGTGGGCGTTCTTTACAAATTCTCATGAGGCACAGTTCCTTTGACTTTTTTATTCCTATCAATATGCTCTACAGCTCTGTTATTAAAGTCCCAATCGTGTCATACAGATGTAGATTCCTATCTATTAAACATTCTATAAATACTTTAAAATAGTTTAATTTGTTTATTTACCTTCGCTTGTAAACCTCGATTTTAAATGTATCTGCCATTTTTTCAACAAATTTCCCATGAGTCAATGCGTGACGTTCACTAAAAGTCACGGGATATTGTAAGTGTGCGGCGCAAGGTTAATCAAGGCATGTAATAAGGCAAGGCATATAATAATTATTTATACCATTCCGTAGTATAAATAATAAATTCCTATTACAAATTAAAATAATTTATTGTTAATTTAAAATCATTGCTAGGGCGCCTCTAGTGCCCGGTTTTGGCATACCGTTACACAGACAGACATGCTTTGAATGGGTTATATAGATAGATAATAATGTTAACATTTTTCATTCTAACGTGTAGTTTTCTTTAAATTCATATAGAATTCAGTGTGTATATTTTTATTATTTTTTTTTAACTCAATTTTATTAATTTATAAATATACATACACTCTCTGTCAATTAAATTTGCCAAATTATTTTTCGAATATACAGGTAACCCCCGTATAACACGGTAGTTACGTTCCAAAAAATTGCCGTGTTATGTGAATCCGTGTTATACGAAACAAAGAACTAATACGAAAAGGAGGGTTAGCTTCCAAAAATTAAAAAACATGCTAGTATATTTTCATAATTAAGATAAATATCTTCATTAAAATTTTTTTAAGTGATACATATTAATATAAATTAAACAATATTTTTTTCGTCATCACTAAAAACATTATTAATTAACCGAGAGCATTTTTTTGGCAAGTTATCCTTATCCTCTGAGCATTTTTCTGCATTATCTTCAGATCCATGCTTTACCTTTTGCAAAATGTATGTAATTTTAGATTGCTTGCTTCTAGTTAAAAGGTCTTTATAAATTTCCTTATATGGTGCTAAGCACTTATGAAGAATAAAGCAAGTATGGAATAAGGGAAAAACATTCGGCAACATCAGAAGCAGAAGCGTCGCGATCTGGCAACATTGAAACAAGTTTCGAGAAGGACCACGTGTATCGACAGAAGGCGAGAAGAGAAAATTTACATACTTAAGTACTAATAGTTCACGAAAATAATAATTTTCGTGAACTATTATTACTTAAGTATGTAAAAATTTATTACATTTCCTGTTGTACGAGGGTTTTACCCAATTCTCGAACCGTGCCAGAGTGAATCCGTGCTATAAAAGTACCGTGTTATACGGGGGATGGTACCAATTCTCGAACCGTGTTAGAGCGAATCCGTGCTATAGAAGTGCCGTGTTATACGGGGGTTACCTGTACCAGTATTTTCTTCTATTTTTTTTTTATTCTCATAAATTTTATTTGAAAACTGATATACATTCTTAATTATATTATAATTATTTTAGATAATATTTTCCACAATCATATTTTCAATAGTATTATTATTATTTTTCTGAAATGAAGCAAATATTCTTCTTCAGTGCTGTATATATTAATGTCATTATTAGATGATACATTATATGCATAGTTAAATCAAATCTTTTGTGAAATTTAATTATATTAGAATTTTTAACGAATCTTATAATTATAAAATTGTTTTCGTATTAATTTTAGAAGCATAAAATAAAAAGAAAATTTTTTCATTTTATAGGTAAATATGATAAAAGAAGATGGATCTGTAATTCATTTCAATAATCCAAAAGTACAGGCCTCCTTGGCTCATAATACTTTTGCCATCACCGGTCATGCAGAAAATAAACGTAAAAAAAATATTTTTTTTTAGAATTTAAAATAATAATATTAAGAATTGAATGTTAACCTGAAATCAACATTTCCTCTAATTCTTTTTGTAGCTGAGCGGAACATGTACTTCTCTGAAGAAAAAATTTTTTGAGCAGATACATAGACAATCTTATTTTTTTCCTTTAAAAATTAAAATAATTAATTATAAAGTAAAGATTAAAATTAATTTTAAAACATATTTTCGTACAAATTTTGTCAATGATTTAATGTATTTAATTGAAATATATGTAGCAATAATCATGTCGCAGACAGAGTGAGAAATCAGTAAACAACGATTCAAATCAGTGTGCATGCTTGCCTACACAGCAACAATTTGAGCAGTGCGCAGCTGCACAGCTTAGAGGGAACCTTGCCTGAAACAGTTATTTTTAAAATTATTATTAAGTGAGATTTTGCAGTTTGGTGTGTGAAAAGTCAAGGACCAAGTGCAAAACTCAATATATTATGTTGTGCCTTGTTAATGATCTATGTCATGTAGGTTCTGATAGTGTGGCCACAAATGCTTAAATTTCTGAAAATATATATTTATACCATGGTACAAAGCATACAGTAACTTGTTAATCATGCAAGAGAGAGAGAGTGTGTTTACATAATATCAGGTAAACCCAAAGATATGACATGGATCAAAACTCTGAAGGTAGATTGTCTTAGTCTTTCAACACTAATCAGGTGGTGATTGAGCAGAAGATGGATATCAGTTAAGAAGTTGAAATGGTAACTAGCAGCAATGAATGGCCAAAAGATGGAAGTCTCATACAGCTTGGTTTCACCACTGTACTTGGGCTGACTTGCACATGCACTTTTTTTTTACATGAAACTTTTATCTGATTTACATTCAAAACTGTCCAAATCAGAGATGATGTTTTTCTCTTTTAATTGCAACTCAATTTTGATTTATAGTTATGACATGTGTCATCATTTGTCAGTGAGCTAGTATATGCAGAAATATTATATTCTTTTTTATAAATGTTCCTTGATCCATGTTCTTGTAGGTTTTTGTTTGATGAATTTAAAGTCAAACATAAATTTTATAATTGCCTTATTATATCATCAAAATATGTCTATGTTTATTTATAAATTAAACAAGTAGGGGAGTGATTCTTAACCAGTGTTCCACAATCCTACTCCTGAACATGATAAAAATATATGGAAAAAAGCTATTTTACACTCATTCAAAATAAGTTTCAGTTACATTTCCTAGCATTTAGTAAAATTATTTTCTTTTAACTTTATTAATTTGTTGTATAAGATAATTCAGTTTACTAAGTATTCAGGGTATTTGAATATTTGAGATTTGGTTAATATTTGAATTGAAGAGAAGTGTTATTTGCATCTTTAGAAAACTATTACTAAATTATTAGAACTACTAAACTAAACTAGTAGAAAATTGAATTTTTCATAAATGCTGAAGAAATTCATTACACAGATTGTTAGATTTGCACATTGCAACTGTAAGGTCGCTGACTTTAGGGGGCAATACATTAATTGCGTGTCAGGAAAACCTAGGGTCAAACCGTATGTGGGTGGTGGCAGTAGGAGACAAAGATGACAAGTGTCTTACATGAAAACCATTTATTTTGACATAAGGTTAACTTACATAATGACAATAACAATGCGATCTAGATCAGCTTTGGTGGGAGCTCTTTGATGTCGACGAATGGATGCTGAGTGGTGTCTCGGGCTTGACAGGAGAGTGTCCGTTGCACAGGGGCCTCTGTCCGGTGACGTTGCAGATGCATGTAGATTTTGGTCACTGGTGGAGAACCTGGTTCTGAGTGGAGAACTACGGAGAATCAGCTGAGAATCTCTGCTTTGTCCTTGAGATTCGGGGTTTTATAAGATTTTCCCTGAATCTCACCCTTTTGATTGGTCACCCTCTCCCTTACCCTGATTGGTCATTCTTTTGTTTATAGGCGAAACTTGAGACCGATCCGGGTCGGAGAGGTGATGACGGGACTTTTAATGTTTGTGCTCGTATTTTTCTCCGTTATGGCCCTTCTTTCGGACGTCTTTGAACTTAACGGTCCACCAGATGTTCTTGTGGCCATTTATCCCCTACCGCATTCGGACTTAACAGATGTCCCTTTTGTTTTTAGACCCCCCTTTTTCTCGATTGCTTTAACCTGACACTTTTTGCAAGCATCTCGACAAAGCTATTTCTCTCTGTCGATATTCCCTCCTGTTGTTTATCATCGCGTCGTGTTTGTTTTACAATTCGAAAAAAGTTTTCGTCCCATCTGGGTTCTGTCATTAACACACCCTCTTGACCTGATTCTATCTTCGAAACTCTGACGTAAAAGTTTCATAATTAGTCATAATTTCGACGTGCTTTTACGACCCTCACACAATAGATATTAAAGAATACCATTATTAATTCTAGCGCATGTTTGTATACTGAAGTATACTTCATGACATGTTAGGGTAGTTTTTTTGTTTGCCTTGTTTCACTATTTTTACTTTATATAAATTGAATTAATTAATCAAATAATTTATTAGTGATATATGTATATTTTTTCCAAAGAATTAATTTTTCTTTATGCAGTAGAACCTCGATTATCTGGACTAATTGGGGATGAAGGTAGTCCGGATAAGGAAAAATCCGGATAATCGAAACAAATACTTTAATTTGTCTTTTAATGATAATACACGTTTTCTTTTCGATGCCATATCGGTAATATTAAAAATAAATACTGTATTTAAATCGTGATCAAATTTTCAAGAAACAAATGTTCGTATTGAATTTGGACTACTACTGACCAGTGCTAACAGACTACCTATTGTTTAAAAGGCCCTCTGGTGACGCAAGAAGACGGATTTTATAAAATAAAAAGCAGTTGAAACTGCATTTTTATGAATAAAAATTTGATAAACTATTTATCATTTTATGACGAGTAAAATTTTTTCGTTGCGTTCGTGGCTTTTAAGTAATGCATAAACCTTCGAGAAGCGAGGCCCTTCGGACCGCGAGGCATAGGCGGTGGCCCACGTTGCCCATATGCCGCCCTTGGTCATAGAAATGATATAATTTGAATATAAGTTATTTATAAATACGTATGTCAAATTATATACTTATTACGACGCAAAATATATTTAAGAGTTTACGTCCACTGTGCCGGGTGAGACGTTGTTGAAACAAAAAAAAAAAATTTATGCATTCCATCACGTACATAAACAGTATCGTAATTCGCCAAGTGCAAATCAGCAAATTCATCAAATTTTTGTTTATTTCGAACAATCCGGATAATAGAGGTCCGGATAATCGAGGTTCTACTGTACTTTAAAAATATCTATTAATAATTGTTGATTTATCTTATAACAAATTAATTCTGGTTTTTAATGTTTTAAAATAGAAATTACTGAAATGCTTCCTGGAATTCTGAATCAACTTGGAGCAGAAAGTTTGACACATTTAAAACGATTAGCAGGTATCCAGAATGTAGGAGGTACATTTTTTTAATTTTTTAATAAGCAATGTAAAGTATATAATATATGTTTATTACCATTTTTTACATTAAAATATATATATATATATGAGTTTAAGCTGGGAAAATATTTTCTGTAGCTAATTTTACTAAAAAAGTTGTAGCAAAATTTTAGAAACAGTAGTTAACAATTCTCATCTGTGAGGCTGCCCAGAACAATACACAATACATTATTGTTTAAACATTTGTTTATTCTCATAGATACTGTACATTATTACAGTGTACTGCACTAACAATATAACCATAAATCTATTGTTACAACCCACAAGTATCATAATTATTTAACAATTCTTCTTGGTTTTGATTCACATCAGGCTGCAAATGCTGAATGAAAATCAAATTCCCATCTTGGGGGGCTTTTTGTGGAGATGTTTAACAAGTTGCTGACAATTTTTACCTCCACAGTTTCCAATTGGAGTTTTTGTTAATGTCATCTCAGCAAAACCTTTCACATTCAACAGTGTGCACTGGGTGTGAAAAAACAAATTCAGTAATTGTTGACATAAGGGTAATCTGAGAAGTTCATTTACAACTATAATTTTATAAACTTTTGCTGATGACATATCCTTACATCTGACAGCACAAATTTTTTAAACAAATCCCACTCCATCAGAAATTATTTTTAAAATTACAAAATTAACAATTAAGTATTTGTTTATTGGAAACTTTCATGACATCCCATACATGAAGTAATGTCTGTCAAGGTGGACTTTTCTTTTGTGTAGTTGGAATGACAAGAGATTACACTTGATCGGTACTGTCTTATTTTAGGAGAGATAGGGTGATGTTACAATTGTTACCTGTCCAGTATTGGTCAGTTTGGCTGGCAATTATGAATTGCGGCCAACAGTTGACAAAAATATTTAAGTTTTGAAAAAACAGTTTAAAATATAAACAAAATTATATTTTAATTGAAAAAATATTAGATAAAATTATTTTTAATATTTTGTATGTTTACTTATAAAATTCATAAACAACACCTTAAATATTTTTTTGGCAACACTTTAATTTGTTTAAATGAACGTTTTTGATCTTTTTCACAGGTCTGCATCTGGTTTAACTGTTTAAGAAGACAGTTCAAATGTTTTTGTTAAAAACCTGATGCAGACCCATGAAGAGGTCGAAAATGTTCTTTTATAGAAATTAAAGTGTTGCTGAAAAAAGTATTTATGGTGTTGTTTAAGCTAAATTAGTTTCAGCCTATACAGAAGTGTTTCTTCTGTATAGACAAACTAATTTATCTTAAACTACACTTTAAATACTTTTTAATGATAAAACGACTTTCCCATTATAACTAACTATTAAACTTTTGTTATCATTCACGAATGATGCTATAATATATTAAATTTTTAAATGCATTTTATGCAATTCTGAGTAAAAATAATTGTTTGTGATAAAATTTACTGCTGTTTTGAGTTAAAAATTGATTTTTCAAGATGTCTAGGCATTTGCTTGATTTTTCTTTTGCTTGAATAAGTACATGTATTGTGCATTTAGGAAAACATGGCTCCAGTGTATGAATTTAAAATTTGTTAACTCGATGATGATGATTGTACGTACAGCTCGTTGCATCATTTGCCAAATCTCATTTCAAATGGAATTACAGCATTTATGAGGCATGCTGATTGTGAGAAGCATTAAAAAAGAGTGCATCTTCTCATTACTTTCCCCTTCCTTTGGTTGTTGTGTCAGTCAATGAAACAGTTTTCAAAGATGGCGACCTTAGATGACACAGTGGGATATATTTATTATTATTATTATATTGAGTAAAAGGGAATTAGCTGTAATTTGTTTGTGGGTAGTGTTGCAATATTAAATTTATTTGCAATAAGATACAAATTTATTTTTTACTACACAATAAAAGCATGTGTATCTATATATAAATGGAGAATATTCAGGTTTCTTTCAAAAGATTGATTCTAGATTTTCCAATCGTTTTCCATTTTTAAGCTTGATGTTTATTAATTAATGAACGTATTATGTTTGTCATGTAAATCGTTAGTTTTTCTAAACTAAAACTTTAGAAAGTATTCAAAAGAATTAGAATCGGTTTTCAGCAGAATTGAAATTGGATGAAATTCCCCATCACTAGTTAAAACATTTTTAATGTTTTTAAGATGTTCTAACTAGTGATGGGATGATACCAAAATTTAACAATTTAACATTTACCAAGCTTTAACCACTTGGAAAATGTCAGTTTTTTTAGTATTTTACTAAATATGCCAAGAAAATTGTCACTAAACCTAAATTCTTGTAGCATTTTAAGTTTCAAACTTTTTTTATAAAATTGTATAAAACGTTTCTTTTAAAAAGTTCTAAAATTTCCATGCAACAAAAATTCTATATTTTGAAGACAAGAAAAAAAAATAGTAAACACTAGTAAATGCTAAAAATCTAAAGCACCACATGATTGACTATGATCAGATTAAACCTGGACAATACCTAATGAATTGGTGTCATGTAAAATTTGGGTTCAGCCAAGTGCCAGGCCTGGACTTGGATCGTGGTAAGAATACTTCACATGACTCAACAAAAAAGAGAGAAAAAAAAATGAAGAGAGACAAGTATTCAATTAAGTTAAACTAATAATAAATTGTTTATTTTAGTAAAAATTGTTTCTTATAAATGCATTTTACTTGTAATAGGTGGCATTGGCAAAACAAGTATGGGATTAGATGATGATGACGATGATGAAGTTCCAGGTATATTTAATTTCAATTTTAAAATATTTAAACATACCATAAACAGTTTATATTTTACAATTCAGTTTATATTTTGAAATTTAGTGAGTTAATAATAATAATTATCTGTAATACTTGAGATTTTACTGTATACTTTGATTTGTCTTTTGCATATTCTTAAGTGTAATGCAAATTTACTTATATATCTATCAATATATAATTACTGAATATATATGTAAATTTGCACATTCATCAGTGGAATTGATGACTTCTGGAAATAGACCTACAGATATAGGTCTTTTTCTAGAAATGGCCAACTCATCTAGTGTCTTACTATGACAGTCACTTGGCTAAGACAGCAGAGATATCAGTTTGCCTGTGTTGAGAAATCCAGGTTTGAATATGGATTAGATTGTCAAATTTTCATGAATGGTTTAACATGATTCATGTCAGACCTATTCTCACTACATGGCCACTTAATTTTGGACCTGGCCAAATTGTGATGGACATGGAGAAAGCTTTGTTACTGTTTGCAGAGAGAAAAGTGTTAATAATAAAATTGTTTGGTTTAATTATATTCTTTAATTTAAAAAATTTTAATAATATATTGAATATAGTAATTTGTTTTTTTTTTTGTTTTCTAGATTTGGTGGAAAATTTTGATGAACCATCTAAAACCGAGGGATTATAAGTTATCGATGCAAAGTTGTGGCAGTTTAATGTGAAGTGCTGCTTTTGTTCTTGCAGATTTAAAATTATTAATATTGTTAAAGCTTTGACTTAAATAACTTTTTTAAGATTTGAAGTGATGTATGAGATATTTTTATTAATTTTCTTGTTACTGCAGTAACTATTTTGTTTACATTTAGTTAATCTAAAAAAAATAGTTACGATCAGTGTTGATTTCTACTTTAATGCTAATGGACTTTATAGAAATGTTTTATATTTCAGGATTAAAAATAAATCTTCTGACTAGTCTTATAAAACAATTACAGTACTTTTGACAAGTTGTCTTATTTTTGAAGCTAGTTTTTCTATTTCTTAAAAATAAATATAAATTTGATAATTTGTTTGATAAATTATTTTAATGTTTTTCATCTTTACTGTGATTATATTTTTATGATTGAAATTGATTTTACTGTAATTTGTTAGAATAACAATGAAAATCCATACATGTATATATACTTCATGCAGTTTGCAGAATATATAAAAAAAATCATTCAGAATTTAATACTGTAATGTTTGACAAAAATTCAGAATTAATAAAATAATTAACATTTCAAGAATTGTTTTTGTGATGGAGATCAAAATAAAACTATTTTTTTCTTTGTATTTATTTGATGAATGATCTAAATAATTATAATGTAATTATATAGAATAGTTTATATCTCCAAATGATACTACTTTAAGCTGACCACATTCTCTTAGAATAGAATTTTTATTCTATAGAATTCATTTTTAATTCTTCTTAAGCCAGCTAAACCTACACCTGACTATTATTTGTGTAAAATGCCCGCTTTGAATTGACCACTTTCATCATCTTATATGAGATGATGAAATTGAAAAACCAGGTGGCATGTTACACTGTTGCATTAATGTATAAGTTACTCTCAATTTTTTTTTCTATCTTCAGTGTCTGAATGTTTTCCTCTTTAGTTCTATTGTGGAGAATATACATTATTTGCTGTTAATTAATATCCTCAATTCTCAAAAGTTAGCCAATGCTTTATTCTTGTTAAATTAAATAAGAATAAATAGAACATTAAATTCATTAATAATCAATAGGATGACTAACACACCAAATTAATATATAATAACAAAAACAAAGACACTGAGTTCAGCGTTATATGCATTTTTTATCGCAAGCACTTTCAACGAACTTGTAGTCGTCGTCCTCAGGCGAATACAGATATTTACCAAAAAATTTTAAACAAAAATAATCGAATGCAGAATAGAACGCATAAGATAAGTTGAAACTATGTTAAAGCCGTTAAGAACACGAAGTAAATATTTAAACATAATTTGAAAACTGAACGAGCAGACAGCTCCGTGAAGTGCGAGCTGGTGCACACGCTTCATGCATACTAGAGACTGCTAATACTCGCTTAAACACTTATACAGCGTGACCCATACACTAGGCAGCTTGAGCGTAGGGGTGTTGCAAGTGTCCAAGGAAATTAATATAAGATAATATAAAAAAGTTAAATTCATTAACTTTTTTATATTATCTTTCCACCAATAGGGATAGACAAAATGATAATCAAGATTGATAAATTTGATTGGTTTTTGGAATCTGGTTGGTCAAGTAGAAAAATATTGAAAGTATCATATCAGAGTTAAAACAGAGAAAGCAAATGTTTTTTTCGGATTACTTTAAATCAAACATTTAAAACCAAATGCATTACATTTTCATGTACTGTATTGTACAGTACACAAATTTGATGTGATTTACTAATTAATAAATTTTCTTGTCGTATGGTTGAATACTTAGCATATTTTAAATGAACGATAGGCTGACATCTTAAGCCTGATACTCACATGCAGAAACTGTTGCCTTTCCATGTCACGTAAACTCATGCCGAAAGTACCGTTAAATTGAAACGCGCCATCTGCCAGCCGTAAATGTAAATAGCTATTAGAATAGGTAGGCCACGTGACAGTAATTGAAAATGGCGCCTACCGGGATTGCTTTGTTATAACAAAGTTTCTAAGTTTACCTACGATCTTATCGCAAATAAAAAAGCTCAAAAACGAATTTGGATAGGAAAAACATTCTAAATCATTGGGAATTGGAATACAGTAGAGCGTCGATTATCCGAAAGAATTCCAGTCGGCAAATTTCAATTTTCACCAGTTCTGTGGCGCTGCAATCTTTGGATATGGCTTGGGCTATTCAAATATTTTACGTTTTTGATACTAAATTAACTTCTTAAGTATAATTTTTTATTGTTTTATATTTTTCAATATNCACCAGTTCTGTGGCGCTGCAATCTTTGGATATGGCTTGGGCTATTCAAATATTTTACGTTTTTGATACTAAATTAACTTCTTAAGTATAATTTTTTATTGTTTTATATTTTTCAATATATTTTGTTTGTACAAAATAAAAAATAATTTTTAACGATACAATAGTTTTCGTCAGGCTTAACATCGACGAAAATTCAACGCGAAACGACACGCAACGGAGAAAAATTTCAACATGGGATAGGTTATATTTTTTCGTACATAATCGGTTATCTGAAATATCAGTTATCCGAACAACCCAGTCCCCAATTGAATCGGATAATCGGCGCTCTACTGAACTTTCGTAATTGAATTACGATTACGCCATTCCGAATAATTTACGCAGTATGTATGTCTGTTTGATATTAATATCTAAATCGGATAGTAATATAGCGTATAAATGACATATACTGTATTAGTGTTTTAGTGTATAAATAAAACTTTTTAGCCTTCCCGGCCGCCGTAGTTCGAATGCTATCGTCCCACGTGATCTTTATGACAACGTAATGGATAAACGGCCTTCCTATTGGTCTAATTTTTACCGACCCGTTTTCCGCGACGGCAAAAGTTGAAAATTTTCAACTTCATATTCTTTGGGCTTCGATGACAAAAGTGACGTAATTTTGCTGTTTCGTGGACAGGTGGTCATCCGTTTCCGCATGTGAGTACCAGGCTTTAATCGCTTGACAATCCAGACGTCTGTTGTATATGTTAAAAAAACTTTTTCTATGCCTAATAACAACATCGTGATATGAAAATGAAGAGTTTGGAAATTTTCTTATTTGAACGATCTGATAGCCAGGATCGAATCCAAGCATGTGGCGAATCTCGAGAATTTTTCAAGGATAGCGTTTCCGCGGTATGTTTGGCCCCATCCTTCGCTATTTGGTTGTCCTATTATGGAACTACTTGAATCCTTGATGGGCATGTCTTGCAGTATTCACAATCGTCTTGCAAAAAATCGTCTTGCAGTATTCACAATCGAGGATCAAGAGTTTTGAGTTAGAAGTTAACCAATCATCATTGAGTTTACTTTTAGTACGTAAATGTTTATTAGTTAAATTCAAATTCTAACTCGATCCATGGTTGTGAATACTGGCATTAGTTTCCTATTCATTAAAATTTCTCATTTACCAAAGAGAATTTTCTCGAAAATGTTTCTAAAAGTTATTTACTAGTGATGTAACGAATATTCGGTTACTATTCGGTATTCGGCCTATTTTTCACTATTCGGCCGAATACCGAATATTTAATCACTATTCGGCCGAATACCGAATATTTAATCACTATTCGGCCGAATACCGAATACCTAAAAGCAGGAGTAATAAATAACAAAAACACAGTAAATTAATCATTTTGTTATTTAGATTTAATGTTATCGAGTTAGTGTTGTTTGTTTATATTTATTTATAACTTGTAACATGCACAAAATAAAAAAGAAAATAATATTAGTCACATGTATTCACAATTTATAATTACAAAGATCAGCACACGTACACGTCTATCGTTGGAGAATCCTCGCACATCTGAGGGTCTGACCCTGCCTATCCTTCTTTTTAAGCGCTCGTCTTTGCTCTTCCCTTTCTCTTTCCTCTATCGCTCTAATCCATGTATGCCTGTGCATACATCATAATACGCGCTCACGATACTTTCGATTCGTCACTTTTCCGTCGTAGAGTTCCCATTTTACAATTACGTGACTCAGCCTGGTGATAACGGAGAAAAGAGACAGATAGGACGTCGATATAAGTCACAGTTATGATTTCACAGATTCGAGACAGCTTGATAGCCCGAACGGCCCCAGGCTTTCGCCCGTGCACGCTAAGTGACTTTCATTACAAGCATTTAGCTTTCCGAAGTCTATGACAACAATTGTTTGGCATTGACGGCCGCGAATTTCGTGCCAATAAGCTGCCTCGACTTGTTCGATTATGTTATCAACTCAATTTCATATTTATTTTCACATTTTCACTTCGCGGTCCTTCTCTGTTCTTTTTCCGTTATTTACACGTGTAGGTCATTTCATTGTTATCCACATTTGATATCATCATTTATCACATACTTCCATGACACTCTTGTCTGTCCGCTACAACTGTCAAGAATTAACGCGATTGGCGAAGCGTAGTGACAGCGGGCCAATAGAGAGCAGGATCCTTGCCATAATGCGGTTTGCGCGCCAATTTTCGTACGTGCGTTAATCGAGCCGAATAGTTTGGCCGAATATTCGGCTATTCGGCCACGCTCCTGGACGAATATTCGGTATTCGGCCTGAAGCCGAATATACTATTCGTTACAACACTATTATTTACAGAATTCTTAATAATGAAACAGAAGCATCAAAATTAATAAAGAAAAAACAGTATTAATGGTATTTGAAGTATATTGCATTTATAAATACCTATTTAAAAATTTTGTTTCATTTCAATATTTACAAAATTTAAAAACTTATAAGACAAAATTTGTTTTTAGAAATTTTTTCCAGATAAATACTGTACAGTTTATTGCAACTTCATTCTTTATTTTAGCAATGAATAAATTTAAATTTTTTTTTGAAAGAATTAGAATTTATAAAACCGAAGAAAAATTTCAGAATTAATTTTAACATTTAATTTTACTTTCAAACAAAATTTACAACCAATTTAGAAGTTCATTAGATTTTACAATTGATACTTCATAAAATTTTCAAATTAACAGGAAATTTAATGCCGCCACCTTATTATTTTCTAAATCAGAAATTTCATAAGTTTTCTTATCGATATTTCCAATTCTGAAATTAAATAATACAAATTATTATAAATTCTACGTTATATCATTATGATTAAAACCTAAGATTTTAGGACTTTGCAATAAAATGAAAAACCACAAATAGTATCTGCTGAATGTAACAATTATGGCACTGAAAAAATATTAACAGCTCATGGCATTACTATTGTTCTCACAGAACTAAAATTTTGGCTTGATACAAGTGGTTGAGAAATTAATATAAAGAGTGTTTCGAAACTCATGGGGAAAAATTTAAGGGGTGATAGAAAGCATCTAAACAAGCAATTTTCACCATACAACGCATGGACGGAGATCAAGCGGTGAACGCTAGACGGCGCTG